TGAGACGATCGATAAGACAACCACTGTTGACTTCCTTCCCCCCCATTGTGGTACATGTTTTTTTTTTTATCAACACAGCAAGGAATGGTGTGCCGAGTAAACTCCGACAGGAGTTGTGACCTTCCGATTGCGAACCGCTCGCTTTCGTGCCGAACCACCTGGCTGGCTCCTAGGAGAAGAAAGCTTATTGGCCAATAAATGTAAGCAATTATCGTGCGCAACACTTACCGTTTTGGAGTTTGTAAAGCATAATTGACAAAGACCAAGGTCCAAAAAAACTCAGATGAATCATGGGGACAATATCTTACTGAGCGGAAGAGAGGAAAAGTGAAAATGTCAATGCATTGTTTTGATCGGTGCATTTTCCCACATTTGACGAGGTCCCGATGACCCAGGAAGACTTGCACGTTTCCCAGGACAGAAAACTTTAAAAGGAGCATGTCCTGGGAAAACCGGAACAGTTGGCGACCCTACAATGAATGAGGACATTTTAGCTGTACCCTGCGGTCAAAACCTATTTCTAATGCATTTGCCTGTCCAGTTACAGCCCTAGAATGTATCCCCTTGTTCTGCTCTCTCAGACCAAAAGCTGAGGGTCTATCGAGCGAATCAAAGAACACCTTATTACATCCATGGGTTATAAGGATGACGGCACGACCAAGAGACACCGTCTGCCATTGGTTCATTCAAATTGCGCCGATATATCTGTGGCAACCGGACCCATCCAAGTTAGCCCCCTGTGGGGGGGGGGGGGAGGTCTGGGACAAATCCTTTGTCCGCGTACCCCCACACACGTCACGAATATAGCACAATCCCACCGCGACTTGATGTGAACCCATTTTGCCCGTTTCAAGTTGCAGGTTTACACGGTCGGTAACGAAAGACCGCAGCAGCATGTCTGGGGCGGATGTGAAGAGGTACGAGATAATGTGTCTACATCTTAATGGTTCTGCATTATTAATGACTGGTCGGTGACAGGCTGTACAGTACACGTGTACCCTGCCCAAAGACACGTATCCGCCAATTGACGAACGCACAAACACACACCTAGAAGATAAAATACCCAGAACGTACATACCTACCTATGAGGGCGAGTACTTGTAAAGGTCAATATAATTTTAATGAGAGAATATGAAATGAAATAACATAAATTACAAAGGAATGAATAGGAGGAAACGCGATTGCTGGGGGCTAGGATTATTAAACAAATTGCCTATTTTAAATGCAATTGCTGGGTTATTTGAACTGGAGAATGCATTGATATTACTGTGCTCCCTAAGCTATAAATTTTGCTTCGCCTATTCGTCTGCTGATCTATTTGTTTTCACACCTTAACACACACCGTGCGCTCTTTGGAGCAGTAAATTCCGATGATTTGCTGAAGAACACACTTCCCCCCCCCCCCCCCCCCAGTGCGAAAAATGGAAATGATCCAAGGTGGAAAGTATTCCCATCCAATGTTTCGTAAAGAGAATGGGGGCACTGCCCGCGTAGCGACTGCTGTAATGCGAAAGCCTTCGCCGAGTCACAAGACAATATCCTTTGGAGGGTCCTGCTCCACCGCCGATTAGCACGGTGGGCTACGGACGGTGCTAAACAAGTCCAACAGGAGTACACGCATACAAAGCGATATAGGACCAATTGCTCAGCGAGTAGAGTTCCTTCTCAAGCATGATAGCAACACTTTAGCACGCCGGTCTGCTCGAAGGGGGTTGTAGGTAGCCGTGGCCTAGGGCCAGTTCAGATATCAGTCACACATTGTGTAAGCAAGTGGTGGCTGCGAATCAAAACTCAGGACACTGGTTAATGCACTAACCACTGCGCCACCACTCCAGTCCTATCCCCGCATTCATAAATCATTAATATAAGAACTTGATACCTTACAGTAGATTCCAAACGACGAACCATTGCTTTAAATAAAGCATTGCACACGTTTTAAAGCCTCCAATTGACCCTGCAGTAAACAACATAAATATTTATTGAATTTAGTTGGAGCTCGTGCATTAAATAAGTGTTGCGAAATTGCCTCTTTGCCAATCAAAAGAGTCGTCTTTTTGTATTAAACAAAACAAAAGGCTGAAATCAGCAAATGCGAGCTGACACGCTGCTAATCACTCGGAAGCGTTGAAAGTTGCTGCGGACTACAGGAGTCAGAACACATTTACATCTCTAGAAACATTGCCTGCATTGGGAAATGACAAAAAAAATAACCTTTTCAACGAAACACCGTTTAGTTTTTTAATGGCAACGTTTTCCAACTAACTGCACGATGCAAAGATCTACCCGCTGGGGGGGAGACTTGGACATGACGAGTCGCCTGAAGGGATGATGGGGCAGTGGTCAAGACTCACTTTTCGATTTAAGGCTTTCGTGACTGCAGGGATTCATCTTCTTGGTTCTTTCGGTAAAGTCACGTAGAAGGACTTTACCGAAAGAACCAAGAAGGTCAAGACTCACGTCGGAGAGTACGTCCACAGTGGGAGATCGTCATTGTCAGCTGCCATCAATCCACCGCTGGATTAAGACCTCCCTAAGTTGTCGCCATCATTGACAATCCCCCAGTGGAAATGAAAGGAATTCAATGGGCTCACGTGCAAGCGCGACATCGCCAGGCTGTGAGGGATGGCAATGGCTTGGGGAGGCCTTCTTTCAGCAGTGGGTAGATCATAGCCGACGTTAATGGTGATGACGTCATCACTTTCTGGCACTATTGACATACTTCTAGATTTGAAGCTTTCGTGACTGCAAGGATTCATACTATTAGTTTTTTAGGTAAAATTAATAAAAATAAAATAATAAAAATCACGACGTTTCGGAGGCAACACAAGCCTCCAGTCATCAGGTGGGACCATCACAGCCAGATTTGCTGTATCAAGTGATACAGCAAATCTGGCTGTGACGGTCCCACCTGTATCAAGTGATGCAGCAAATCTGGCTGTGACGGTCCCACCTGATGACGGAGACTTGTGTTGCCTCCGAAACGTTGTGGTTTTTATTATTTTATTTTTATTAATTTTTAATAAAAAAAATTTACCTACGTGACTTTACTGAAAAAACTAAGAGTACTATTGACATACGACTAACACTCATCACCCTGTTAACCTTCACAATAAAGATTTAAGCAGTTGCCATGTATGAGCTATGGGGACTATATCCGTAAAATTAAAATGTTTCTGTTCCCAACTAGCGTCTGAATGAAATCCGTCGGTGTTTATTTTGACGGGCCAACGCTTGAGCTACTAAAGTGCGTCTCAAAGTTAGACTCTGCGCTAAGGTGCCTCTGGCCTTCGTAGCGATATTGAGGTTGGTACCCTTGTAGAATGCTACTGTCCGTGGTTTTGAGCGCAAGATTTATGTCTCAACTGAAGGCAGAACCAGAGGCACGTGGGCAGGCCCCAGCGTTTTGCCAGCAAGCACTTCCTCATCCACAACATGACAGCACAATTGATCTCCTTCTCGCAGTTCTACAAGAAAACATTTATGGGAACGTATATTCTACATTTTCAAACATTGAAAAACTCACTTAGAAGATATATGTCAAGGACATGCTATGGGCAAGAAATCAAACCGGCACAATTGATTTTTTTTTTAAATATATGAAAAAGCCAAAAATGTAATACAATCAGACTTAAACAAATGGCTGCAGTGCAGCTGCTGACCTACGCGGTTCGAGATGTCCTTGTGTTTGACGCTAACTGTGCACGTTTGTGCCGTGCCATTATGTAAATTGAGCCCATTACCGGATGGCATGGAAAGTACAAAATCTCATCAGATCTCAGAAGCGAAGCAGGTTTGAGCCTGGATAGCATTCCGATGGTCGACCCCCATGTACGAAATTAGGTGTCACAGCATGCTGCGAGGCTCCCTTGTCAGCAGACAGCAGTGCAGCAACATCCGATGTTGTACCGTGCTATGCTCCAACTTATACGCTACTTGCTTTCGCCAAACCCCCACTGACAAGCGTGATGATGTATGGTCAACTAACCTTGATGCCTTGCATGGTGCGAGGAGGCACTGATCCAGCAGTGGATTGGCAAATCGGCCGTACATGTATACTATTGATTACAATTCGTGAATATGATATTCGCCCCATTCTTTTAGAGTATTTGGCTGCTATAATTGTCCACATGATAAGCCACTTCGTTGAGCTATCATTTGTGGGCAGATGGCTTCTGAAAAAGAGCTACATAGCTCAGTTGGCCTTACCTGGTAAAATAGAAATAGTAAAATAGTTGCATTTACTTACAGTGCGCGGCCATCTCTAAGGCACGATGTATCGACGGGTAAAAGTCTGCCGGTAGGGGGCGATGTTTTTACGTGGTTTTACCCAATTCAGGCAAATTCGGTAACTTGGGGATACTTGCGAAACTTCAAAGTTTTTGACTGTGACGCCAGCACGCATGGCCTCCTTGCCCCATCACTCCTCTATCCGTACCACCATGGCCACCGTTCCCATCAACGCCGCTCGTTGACCCCTCCACCCGCGTTTAGGACACGCCTGCCAGACCGACTGCGTCATCTCACCCGTACTGTGCTCAACCACCGCATGGCATGGAGAGCTACGGCGCATTGAGCCGACACGCCGAGACCCAGGGTTCGAATATTAGTTTCAGCTGCCCGTGATTAAACTGTGTTCTCAAGTGTACTGGGATGATAGTCTCGATCACTGGGCATTACATTTTTCATTTTCAAAACGCTTCTATTTTCTGTTTCTTCCCTCGCACTTCACCACTTTTGAATTCCCTCCCATCGTCTCTTTTCCCCAAGCTCTTATAACATTGCTTAATATAAGAAACGTATTAATAACTCTTCTCTGTTACAACTTTGTTCTAATCTGATGCTGGCCGCTTGATGTTTCGGTTAGTGAGTTTGCACGCGGCGAGCGTGTCAGAATCTGAACATGTATTTATACCGGAGGAATCCGATGAGCTATGAAGCTCTTCTTCACTGACGTCCAGTGCACATGAAACCGCCACCAACTCCGTGCTGCCGCCACTCACCTCTGCTGAAGAATCCCAAGTCTCCCCCTTTCTTGGCCGAGCTGCAGTCGCTGTACTTGGAGGCGAGTTCCTCGAATGGCACTTCTCCGGACCGGATTTGCCGGATGTATTCTGTCCGACGACGCAGCACGAGCGGCGTTGGTGGGGGGAAAAAGACGATTCACATCTCTGAGGTGAATGGTAAAGGTGCAGTCCTGCAATTGCTTGCTCATGCCACTACTACCGGAAGGGCCTCCGCTAGAGGGAACTCCGGGCAGTCCCTCTAGATCAGGGGTCGGCAACCAAAATAACAAGAAGAGCCATTTCTTTCCAATTCGGTACAAAATTCAGTATTTCAAGAGCCGCAATGCATCTGAGTACATACGTATTCATCGTCAAGAAGCAGCCCGTAAAGAGCCGCATGCGGCTCCGGAGCCGTAGGTTGCCGACCCCTGCTCTAGATGATATTTGGCCTACTATTCTACGCTGGCCAGACTCCTTGGAAGAGGGGGGAGTATCCACGATTAACCACGCCACTTGTGACCTGCCAATGGAATTTAATGTGGTGTGCATAAAGCCAAATGAAAACTCGCCAAAACCCATCAAACTATTTCCCCTTTCCAAAATTGACATTTATCAATGCTGTGCTGGATGTCTCACAGTCACACGTGGAGAGGCCTTAATCCAGAAGTGGATAGATCATGGCTAATGGAGAACCTGTTATGTTATTGCACAGCGTATTTTGTTTTTGTTTACAACCCTTTTTGAATTTACTGCCGGATTGAAGGACTCTCCAACGAATATCAAAGGGGTTATTTGACCATACTTCACCATTCTGGTCAGTGCGGGGGGGAGGGGGGGTAGCGGGCAATTTAAGAAAATGGCCTCATTGTTTGACACGCCGCACTGAGTGATCCGACTGAATTGATGACCTCTGAATTGCAAGTCCAGCGTGCTGACCATTACACCGCAGCAGTACACCTAATGACGCAACCAAGAAGAATACCCTCGACGTATCAAGATAACATAACATGCCAGGTGGCATTGGTAGCAGCAACACATCCTGCGCTAATTGCATTGTGGAAATAGGTGCAATTCGTAGTGATTTTGGAGTTAATGTCATTGAATCGATATAAAACATTGAGGCACAACTCAAGGACTGGAGGAATGAACATGTCCACTAACAACTACATTACCGTAGTAATTATGAGCGGTAAATAGGTTTAAAAAAATGTCAATGTGCTTTTGTACGTGTGCGTTTTAATATCACAATCTAGTTACATTTAACAAAGGCCTCACAAAAAAAAGACTAAAATCAAGAATATTTCAAGCAAGCAACACCCCCTTCTGCACGTCACGTGTAACTGCAGTTAAAATGTTGTGCATAATTATAGAACTGAACCGATGTCTCCTTTTCTCCATCGGGAAGGACAACTACATTTGATTTCGTTTCCAACCCCCCCCCCCCCCCCAAATTCACCTTAAGCCGAAATTCCAAACCCAATTCATCACGCCGCAATGAGCCAATAGCGCAAGTGGTCTCGTACAGAGATTTACCGTCGCATTCATGGCAGCTGACACCCCTGGCAATGTGTGACAAATTGGTAGTGCTTGAGAGTGTCAGGATAGGTGGTATTGGGTGGAGTGTCTTAAAAAAGGATTGGTGGTGTCCAGCGAATGAAGCATTGCCTCGTTAGGTGCCCTGAATGTACCTTTACCATTGGAAAGCGGGCGCTAATGAGGAGCAATGCCTACAGCTAAAAATATCCACATAAATGGGTCTCTTTAATTAATCTGCTTCTCCAGCATAATTGCAGGCATTAATCACGAACAAGTACTTCTTGTTGAAATGGCATCATAAACATCCCATATTGCCTCCCAAAGAGCAATATTAACTATAAGAAATCCCGAACAGCACGCGCGCGCGCGAAACAAAATTACATTTTCAACTTTGTGACACTGAACAAAGTTAGTCAACCCTTATTTTACAAATTGGTCCTGAAGGTCAGGTGTGTCCAATAGAGAAAACTGGATTATGAACAGATTTCTGTCCAATACAATTTACATCTATCGATGTTGTCTGACACGCGCCAGGTTGTAAAAACCCGGGGGCTGCAAAGAGACGAGCAACGCATTGGTGAGGTAGCATTTTGCTTTGTGAGGGTCAAATATGATTTTAAAATACCTTTGGTGGAGCATACGTCAACACACACCTCACTCACTGCACTACAGCGTTGCGATGTTAAAAATGTTTTACCAGGTTGATGTGAACTGGCCACAAATGATCGCTCAACGAAGTGGCTTCTCATCACGTGTAAAATGTATAGCAGCCAAATACTCTTTAAACGCATGCATCTAAATGTGGAGGAACTGGAGAACCCGGAGAAAAATCCACGCGACTAAATATTCCCCCTCTTTTGCCTGATTAGTGCATTAAGGTGCATACCTCCATTAATAAATATCGTTTACTGGCAGCTTTCTAAGTGGTAGGCCTCATGTGGCCATGCAGCTTATCACCCCCTTTCCACTGTAGCTGATCTCAACCTAGCCCAGCGCAGGACCCTGGCCGTGCGGGTGTTTTTTTCCAGCGGCTATTTGTCGTGGTTCGATAGAAACCGAATGCGGTTCGGACCCAAAAAGGGTCATGGGCAGATCTGACGACGCATTGCGTGCGACGTCAGTTCACTGCAAAGGACACAGCGTCACCGTGTAAACTACTGCGCCCGCGTCTCGACTCGCTCATTGCGAGCGATGTGAGCAGCACGGCTCTGCTTCGGCAACGTAAAAATAACCTGAGATGGCCTCGGCACAACTCAGTTGCACCGTGGCAAAACTAAACTGGATCCGGAGAAAAATCCACACGACCTGAATACTTCCTGTATACTAGGCGGGGTAGTTCACATCTCGCCACCGCGGCGTATTTTAAATGAAGTTGCGGACCATATATGGCCCGTTGGCCATAGGCAGGCACTCCACGCCCATCACAGGGGAACAAACACAACCCGCAGACGAGGCTCGCAGGGGAAATAGGGCATCGCGTCAGCCATCCTGGCCACCCTCACCCTGCAGGATGGAGACGGCCTCATCCTTGGAGCGAGTGATGTGCTCCTCGCGCCACGAGGATGGCCTCCGCGAGCCGCTGTGCTTCACCAGCAGGTGAGAGCAGCGCACCTGGGAGGGCTCGTCACCGCGGCTGCCCCCCTCCGGCCGCTCCCATTGGCTCGAGTTGGTCACGTGGTTGAAGTAGTAAACGCGGCCTGCGGCACACGGTGAGAGGCCACGGGAAGCGTCAACCGATCGCGCTTCAGACGTAAGACAACGGAGAGTCATTACACGCGCCGAACGTGACTGCGTGTGGTGTGAATAAGTGTGGAGTGGTAGCCGAGTGCCAGCCACAGCTAACATGAGGGGTGAATGATATATATGTGCCGGTTCTTGGCCTACCCTCCTCCTCACTACGCAGCATGGTGAAGTATAGTCGAATTCCTGTGATCAACGTGGCATGGGGAGGTCTTTAGCTGGCAGCGGAATGACAAAAAGGGCTGTAAAATTATGTTTAATACAATGTATCAATTATTATGCTTGTTTACCCAGGAAAGACTCAATAGTCTAATGACTCTTTTTCAGAAGGGTCGTGCCAAGTTTTCGCAGTATGGGGCGATTATTGGTATGTAGATTCCTATTGAGTAAGAGGGTACTTTTTTAAAATTTGGGAAAACTGAACCATGACGCGAGCACACAATTTTTAAGGTTAATGTAACACAGTATTAATCAGGGTGGCTGCTGGTTTCGAAATGTGAACCTCTGCAATAAGCGGCAAATGCGCCATGTCGCTTACGGTCATTACTTTTAGTAGGTGAAATTACAAAAAGTGCATGTGGTTAGGTATACTACTTTTTTATTTTACAAAAACGCATCTTTTTCCCGAATTTTATCCCGATTGTTCTTGGTGCCATGTAACAAGACATTGTATACGCTCGGATCTCTCAGAGCATTGCAACCTTACGTGTTAAAGAACAGCTCATGGAAGAGGATATCATAGAGCTACCACTGACATCAAGTGGCGTCTAGTCCACACAACAGAGGGGCACAGCACTCGTCCCACAAACTTCTTCACATGACATTAAATTGCAAATAAAACGCTCCGAGACGTTTCGTTACACTATACAAGAGCACAATATACACACAAGTCCAGTCAAATTAATTCACAACTAAGGTACGGAATCTAATTCTATGGGATTATCTTCTTTAATGCAGTCATTGGTGACTAGGTTGGGACCATTAACTCTCACTAAAATTGAGAACCCAGTTTAATCACAGGTGGGGCTGTCTGGATTCGAATCCAGGATCTCAGCTCAGGGTTCTGGACCTCTATGATACTTGGCCAACCTCCCCGGTGTATAATGACTTTAACAAAACATTCTTCCCTTAAGGTGGCAATATTAGCCGTCACTGTTGTGGGATTTGGTTTTTGCTAATGTTATGTTTGTGTTGGGTTTCCTGAAAATACTGCATTGTTGACCACATCCCACAAATGTCAACGTGCTTTGGAACTGTGCATTATGAAAGTCGCTTACAAAAAAAAAACAACCATGATTAGGGTTATTAAACACTCTTTAATGTATTTTATAGTGACGTTTATTACATTTATACTTTCATTACATATCAGTCGTGTGGAATATGGAGCATTAAATGGCCAAGCAGCGAGATGTTTCATCACCTCCTTCTCAACCAAGGGATATCCGCGTGAAAACACATACAGAGTTCCCAGGCTGCAATTTGGCATCAACCCAGTGAAATTTGAAGTCGTAGGCGAGCTTGCCTGGTGTATCCAGGCCCCTGCATAAATGCCAGGTACTGTGTAAACAAATTGTGTGGAAGAGCAAGATGGCTTAAACATGACCGACTCTTTTAAGCGCCCCGATGACAAAATATAAGCCAAACACAGAAACGCCCAATGAACAGACCCGGCGGTGACATTTCACAACACAGATGGAGTCGTCTTATGCCAGATGGCCCATGCCAAGGCAATAACTTATTTTGCTTCCAAATGGGCACTAGATTTCCAAAAGGCCCGATTTGGGCCACTCAAAAAAGGGCAATATTAATGGTTCCCAAAAGGGTCTAATTCCTCTGGTTAAATTACAGACACTGCAATTGAAAAAATGGATTGCCTACGCTCTGCTGTGCCTACCGGAGCCATGTCCCAATGCACATATATTGCACATGTTGACAAGATGAAAACAAGTATATAAAGTTCCCCCATAATCGAATGTATGTTATGTGGTGCTGAACTGCATTTTTTGGCCAAGCCATTGATGATGTTTCCATGTTTCTACGACGAGTGGAAAACTACCCTTGCCTTTCCACTCTGTGGTCCAGGCCTAAGGAAGTGCTGCTCACCTGGTGAGCTGTACTAGATGCATCTCAAACCAGCGTGATGTGAGTCCACGACCACTGCCATCACCACCACCACAACCATCATCACATATACACACCCATAACCACAACCACAAAAACATCACCATCATCACAACCACCCCCGTCATTACATCATCACCACTCCCATTATCACAACCACCATAGCATGTTCATCATCACAATCACCACCTTCACCACAATAATAATCCCTATTAACATGACCCTGGTCATGACCACATTCACCATCACCACCCTCACAACCTCAACCACCATCATTATCCTAACAATCCCAATCACCACCCCACCCACCATCAAGTTAACAATCATGCCATCACTAACATAACCACCAACATCAACACCTAAACAACTATTAACTACGCCAACATGAACACAACATTAACCATTACAATAATCAATATTACCACAACTATTATAATCATTCCCTAAATCACCCCACGTCACCACAACAACCATCCCCTCACCAACATCACCACCACCACCTTTAAGAGCTACCCCCATCACAACCATATCACCAACATCGCCACCACCAACGTCATCATCACCACCACCATCACACATCACCACGATCATCATCACCAGTACCATCACCATCACCACAACAACCTTTAGAGTTATCCCCATCACATAAACAATATCACCAACACCGCCATCACCAACATCATCACCATCACCAAAAACACCACCACGATAACCATCACATCACCAGAACCACCATCATTACTGCAACAACCTTTAGAGCTACCCCCAATCACATCAACCCTACCACCAACATCGCCATCACCAATATCACCACCAACAAAAACACCACTACTATAACCATCACATCACCACCATCATCATCACCACCACCAAAACCTTTAGAGCTACCCCCAATCACATCAACCCTACCACCAACATCGCCATCACCAATATCACCACCAACAAAAACACCACCACTATAACCATCACATCGCCACCACCATCACAACCTTTAGAGCTACCCCCATCACATCAACCCTATCACCAACATCGCCATCAGCACCATCACCACGGACCATGCTGCAATGCAGTACAGATGGGGGTGGGGCCAGACATTGTAACCAGCGCGCTCCATCTATCTCGTAGGCGCTAAGGGAGGGCTACCGAGGCTCTCCCCGAACATTGGAGGGGGGGTGAAGGGAGGGTTTCCCTTCCTCTCGCAGACGACCGCCACCTCGTCGCGTCTGCTGCTTTACCGGAGCTGCGGCTCGTCCGCTTCTCCCATCCCTGCGGCAGTGACTCTGCTTCATCCGCCATGCCTGACACACACAGCCGCTTGAGTAAACATCGGCGCGGCGTTTCGCGCCTGCACTTTCGCGCGCGTCAACGAGGGTGATGGGGGCGGGGTCACTCATTCACCAACACAGGCCGTGTGATTTCGTACGATTTTTGTGCAACCGCCAAAAGAAATATTAATGAACGTTAAATTGCAATTATTTGTAGATCTGGCAAAAGCTGCGACGCTGTGTTGATCGTGAGTAATTTTTTTCTGGAGGTAAAAGTTGCTAAAAAGACGTTTTTTTTTTGTTGGTTGAAGTTTCGCCGCGTAATGACTGTGACCCCTGAATATGCGAACGTCTAACGCGGAGGCTGCGTTTACTCTGTGGCCTCTATTCCAGATACTCAACACAAGAAAAGCGGTAAGCGACTCCGTTTCAAATACCCATTCATCAATAAACCCGCATATAGTTTACTGGTTAATTGGTCATCGGTTACCTATAATAGTTAATCGAGGTCGTTGTTAAAGGTTGTGTATTCTAACAGCTTTCATGTAGGCGGTGTTTAGTTGGAAGTGCGCGTCCATTCACTAAAGCCTGGGTTTCAGGGCCTTAATTCTCACATCGTATATTTAGTGTTAATCTTGATTTGATATTGTGTTAGTTATAACGATGTTAAGCGATGTTTCCCGATACCCTCTTTTGTACGTGACGAAGCCAGCTTTGAATGGGGTGCAATGCAGTTCGAGGATTACGTTTGTATTTTGTGTTACATTTAAATTGTTCCCAGTGACCGATTCCATATAAAACATAAAAGCTTAAAGTTGTAACAAATAGATGTATCTCGTGTTAACTTCGCAAGCAATACGTGGAGTCATCCGAGTGCAATAATGGCTTTTTTAGTAACTTTTAAAGTAAGCTTGAAATTCGTGGCCTCTTAGCAATATACCTCCCAAAGCTGGGCACGTTTAATATTTTACTTTTTTACCTTTACCCCATACGGTTATACGCAAATCCAGGGGGAAATATCTCTGGTGTTTAATGTCGCTAAATAATGTTTTGCAATGTCCTATTCTCCCTGTCTTCACCTCGCACTTACCAGTGTGGTGAAGTATGGTCAAATAGGCACCATAACCCACATAGCTTGGGGGAGACCACGACAGTAGATTGACACAGACGTTGAACGTTTTACACATGTGCATTGCATCCCACCCGAGATAACTAGTTTGTACATACTCTTAGGTTTTTTCGGTAAAGTCACGTAGGTAAAAAATAAAAGAAAAAAATTACTAAAAGTAATAATTCAAATAAAATCATAAATCACGACGTTTCGGAGGCAACACAAGTCTCCGTCATCAGGTGGGACCGTCACAGCTAATATTACTGCATCAATCAGGTCCCACCTGATGACGGAGACTTGTGTTGCCTCCGAAACGTCGTGATTTATTAGTTTTTTTTTCTATTATTACTTTTAGTAATTTTGATTTTTTACCTACGTGACTTTACCGAAAAAACCTAAGAGTATGAATTCTTGCAGTCACGAAAGCTTCAAATCTAGAATTAGTTTGTACCACTCCGTGGGTTTTCGCCTGCTCAAACGAAGGTCATTTTTTAATGTAACGTATAAATGCAGTGTGCATTTTTCTTGTTATCACTGCTGTTGTGATTTCCTGCAGGTCACAATGTTGGAGATCACCTGCAACGATCGGCTGGGAAAGAAAGTGCGGGTCAAGTGCAAGTATCCTTCATCAGCAGCGGTTCATTCCATGAACTGTCGTAAAAAACAAGATCAGCGTCCGGTCTCTTAACAAAAGTAAACAGGAATTGGTTTCATGAGAGTAACTTGTTTAGTAGTGATGTTTTTTTTTCTTTTTTGACATTTGCTTTGAAACAATGTCATTACAATTTCGATTTAAAGCTTTCGTGACTGCAGGGATTCATCTTCTTGGTTCTTTCGGTAAAGTCACATAGAAGGGGACTTACTGAAAGAACCAGAAAAATGTCATTACAGATAATAAAACTTTAAAATGGATTAGCGCTTCAGCGCTATAAGGAGACAAAGTGACCAATTAAGTAATGTTACAATTTACTGAATTTCCTTATTGCCCAGATTAAAAGATGCATTTTTTCCATGTATTTTAAAGCAACATTTGGAGGTGCATTTTATAATTTTGTGTGTGTGATCAGGTTGTATAACTTTCTTGACACCGTGCACAGGTTTTGAGTACGATTTTCAATGCATCTTATAATCTGAAAATGAATATATTAAATTCTTTTTTTTACTGTTTATATTGAGAGAGAATGCATTTTTAGGCATCGAACATAACCTGTTGAATGTCCATGACTTGTGTTTACACGCCTTGACCGTATACTTCAGTCCCAGCGACACAATCGGGGATTTAAAAAAGCTTATTGCAGCACAGACTGGAACAAAATGGGACAAAATTGTCCTGAAGAAATGGTAAGACACTGGAATAGGTTTTGTAAATGTCGAAATAAATCTATGTGTATTCAGTAAATACCCATTTCTATAATGTGTACTTTTTATACTTAATGTCAACACACACAAGCCTGGAACACTCCAAAGTGTATGAAAAATTGCCTGATGCACACACCCGTGCGTTATCTACGGTGGACATCGTGGAAAAAGTTTAGGAATGTCACATTTCACCCGTTAAGCAATTCGAATAATTGTTGTTATTTCAGGTCACAATTGTATTCAAATTCTTTTTTGTAGATGTATATCTAGTGGCGGCGGAGTTAAATAAAGCAGTCTTGTACGATATAAATGAAGTCTCACAAGCGTTGTTCAATGCATGTATTTGGTTAGAATTTATTTGAATATATGAATCATTACATGTATAACAGTGATGTAGGGATGGGTACTTAATTATGGGCCATATCAGGCTTAACATACAATGTACCTTACACTCACAGTTTTAGCAATCATGTAATCTCATTTCTCTTTTTCAGGTACACCATATTTAAAGACCACGTTACGCTGGAGGACTGTATCCTTTACAAAACAAATTAACAACGCCTTAAAGTGTTTAATTTTTAATGCATGAAGCACATTACCTGTTCACATCATGTTTTAAAGTAAACATATATTCCATTGTGATTGTCCTTAATGTTTAAACACAGATGAGATCCACGACGGACAAAATCTGGAGCTGTACTACCAATGAAGCACATCCAGGCATGGCGTCAACAATTCCATAATTGGGATGTTCCGCAAGACATCGGTGTACATCAGTCAGTTTTAATTAAATGTATTATTTACATGGGGAATCTGTAATACAATCTTGATTCTTTGACACTCATTAACATTGTATCTCCGCAATAGGAATGGCTTTTGTTACATTCATGCCATTATCAAGCTTATTTCTAATAAAAATGCAAGTTGACTTGTCGAACCAATGTCTTATAATCCTAGTGCAAATTAAAAGTGCTATGATACTATATTTAAATTTTTTTCACAAAGTGCTATGCTTTTAAATCAATCATATGTAGGAGGCTTGTTTTTTTATATATTTTTTTTTGTTTACCCCTGTCTTACCATAATTGTGTCATAAAACGAAGTATCCATTTAAATATGTCAGCAGTGTCACCCTTCAAGTAAGAGAATGGCCCATGCAAGCAGATATCAGAGCTACCTTTATCCTATGAAGTGACCTCTGGTCCACACAGTTGAGGGAAGCATTGTCCCACCTGCTATGCATATGAAAGTAATGTTCATCACATTACAGTCAAAGCAATATTTAATTATCAGTGCTGGAATGGTAGCCATGTAAGAAACAACATTGTATGTGATGGCTTTTATATGCAGTTATTGGCAACAAGGATGAGCCCATCAACTCGCTACACAAGATAACTGTTTAATCACAAGCAGCTCCCAGGATCTCAACAGTGCAAGCGTATTGCTCTGACCTCTGGAGCCACTCAGCCATACAGATACCTTCATTCTCAGAACACTCCCTCAAGACTCAACGTGATGGACTCCTTTGGCACGTGAACCTGGTGAATCTGCGTGGTTCTTGGCTCGAGCCTGTGTGCCTTAAGGCGGTCGACACGACGGTTTGCCTGCCGTGTTCTCTCTACCGCGTCCCGGGAGAGGCGGACATCCAGCTGTGTTCGTTCGGTCGCGGCCTGCTCTTGAAACTTCTCTTGTCTGCAAGCACACACAATTTTTTTAACACTTTCTAACTAAGGTTGAAAGCATTTGTGCATACGCTCTGTAATGGTAAGGGAGTTATAATAACTTGAAAATATGTTCTCATGTGAACAAAACTTTAATATCAAGTTTTGTTGCTATTAGGTACTTCAAAACTGACCACATTGATCTGTGTTGCTCAATTTAAACAACCCAGACATCTGTTAAAAAGAGCTTCATAGCTCTTCGGAATCCACTAGTCTAAGGATTTTGATTCTAATAAAATGGCTAATTGCATATATTCAACCAAACAGTGCCCTGACAGCTTTCCGTTTGCATCCATACCGCTATGATAAATGCGTGTTAGAAATCGTTACATAATTAATGCGTATGCCTGATTTTTCACAATTTGTTTTAGATGCAGTAGTATTGACAGGACCCCACCTATGCACGCTCAATTTAATCCCAGGAGCCCTGCTTGATAATGTATATTAAAATAATTAGAGTAATGGTTAGCACAATGGACTTGCAATCCATAGGTCGCCAATTTGATTACATTTTAGCGTGGCTGTTGAAACAGTAGGCAAGTTTTGTTATTCCTCTATCCACCAAACAAATGGATACAACACGGTTGATCAGCAGCAAGGCACGTGTAGAGGGTTGTTCATTTACAGCCTTATGCCTAGAGTAAGAACACCATATACGCACATTCTGACAGCCACACAATATCACTTTCTGGAAACTTGGGCGCAGTGGGAGAGGAACATGAACGTCCAAACCTGCGCTGCAGGAACGTGCGCACGATCTCGCGCTGTTGCAGGCTGTGCTCCCGCTGATCCCCGGCCACTTCGGCGCGTGCGCTGCGCTCCTCCTGCCGGCGCATCTGCCAGTCGTGCCTCCATAACGCCTTACCCACGGCCGCTTGCTGCGTCCCAAATGCCTGTGCCATAACAAGCTCCGCTTGACGCGAACGACGGTCGTGGTCCAGTCTCCGTTCACGCGCATTGTCTGCGTGCAAGAGAATAGTGCGAGTTTGTGAGTGTGTGGAATGGTGGCGCATTGGTGAGCACACTATGCTATGGACTCGACAACACCCTTCACCGACCACGTTGACGGTGCATTGTGGTCAAGCAACCGCCCATGACTGGCAAGGCACACGAAGACCATCCAGTGGTGAAATTCAAGAAACCACCCGTACCTATGACACCAACAGAATCATTGTTGGTTGCTTAGCATTTTTGGCTGTGCGCAACAATTGTATTAAAATGAAACAATACAGGAATTAATATTGATGATACGCTTACACTGCCCATTCCAGTGTAAACTTTTAATAACAAAGAAGTAGGACCAGCCGTTTAAACAAAATTAATATTTACGCATACCTTAATGGAATAATACCTCAAAGAAAAGATAAAACTGATTTGAAAAAATTAGACCTATGCTATCACATACACGGATTGTATATGATAGCATAGGTCAAAAATATAACTTGAAGATGGAACAACTACACCTAAATTGCAGGAAATAAGCAATACATTATAAATGAGTCGGTCAAGAAAATATGCTCTCACCAAGGCTGTTTCGTAGCAAAGATTATCGTAATAGTGAATTGGAAAAATAAAGGTATAAGCATAATTAATGTAGAAATTATTACTCATCTCAGATACTCTAATGATCGTAATAACAAGCAATGGAATTGAACTATAGGACATTATTTACAAACGGGCTGCATGAGCAAAAGTCACATTCAACAAATTTGCTAACAAGAGTTATTATTGTCCAAAGGAAAAACACAATGAGGCACTTATTGAGGTGTATTGAAGTTACAAAAGCAGATTGGAGTGATTTTGGAAACCTCAATGTGATAACAGCAACATACCAAAGTGCTGCGACGTGCATGAGAAACATGAACAAAGTACAACGGTTATAAAAACCGAAAAGTTGACAAACAAGCATGGACGGATGCATCCCTGGAATTAGGCAAATTAAACATGGGTCGGGGGAAATTAGAGGCATCATTGCCAGGTGAGTGTATGAGCTTGAGCAAGTCACGTCACTAGGCGAGAGGATGAACGAGATTGTGACAGCAACCGTGGAGAACACGCTCGAAAAGATGACCACCGAGGACGATGGAGAAATGAGATTGGCTCACCTGCCGGATTGCAACATCGCAAGATCAGAAGGAATGGTGAAGGCATGCGGAAGCATTCATACAGCGGTGGATAAGGTTGGGTTAAGTAAAAAAAATTGAAGGGGTATCGCGCAGTTTAAGAAGTGTTTTGACCTGCAGTATTATACACTATTTGGTGATACTGTGTTGGATGTCGTTCACAGGTGCACATAAAAAACCTCAACACATCAATAACGCTGCCTTAAAATAAAACAATATATAACGGATGATGTTTTTGGCAGTGACCATTCATAGCACATAAAGGGTAGCACAACTTAAGATTGAGTTCAGCCTCGCCATTAAGTGTTCGATAATGTAATAGCTACTTCAAATTCATGCTTGCATAATAAACTTTACCGTCACGTTAATGTGTAGCTTTATACGAGCGTTGGAATTGTGCCACTGTAATAGCTCTTACGTATGTACGTATATGTATGTATGGTGAACTTATATTCTTGGTTCTTTCAGTAAAGTCATGTAGAAGGGAAATAATAAAAAAATAAAAATAAGAAAATAAAATTATCACGTTTCGATTGCAACACAAGCAATCATCATCAGGTGTGAAAACCACAGAAATATTTTTTTTTCTAATTTTCTTGCTGTGGATTTCACACCTGATGATGATTGCTTGTGTTGCAATCGAAACGTGAGAATTTTATTGTTTTATTATTTTATTATTTCCCTTCTATGTGACTTTACCGAAAGAACCAAGAATATGAATCCCTGCAGTCACGAAAGCTTTAAATCGAAATGTATGGTGAACTTCTTTTGCAACGTACAGAGCCAACCGTGCTAATCAGAGGTTCAAAGGTAGGACAACAAACTAAACACAAAAAAGCAGTTTTAAAGAAATGAGTTTTCAATCTAGATTTTAAAGTGCATAGCTCCATTGGGTTCCTAATACCGTAGGAAGAGCGTTCCAGACGGCCGCAAAAGCGCATCTGAAAACGCGCGATGCAGTGACCATCTTTGTTCGATAGTTAAGGGGGCCGTACAGTGAAATGAAGAAATCTCAAAATCGGTCAGGATCTTTTACCGTTGTCGTATCTGTGGTGGAGCACCGTGACACAATGTACGTGATAGAATGCAATGTTGAACGGATTGACTGATCATCCGGCACTCACTGATTTGCTCCAGTGATTCTCTCACCCCCTTATCATTCTTCTATCACTATTAATATTGTTACTATTCCTGTGAACTCAACTCGTTTATCCACCTATGTTGAGGCCGTTCAGATTGACCCACCCAAATGGCGTTCAACCACCACACTGCAGGTCAAAATAGGTTTTAATTTCTGTTTATTCCCACGCTTTGCTCGACTTTGGATTGCCCTCTCCCGCTCTGTTTTCTCAAGTTCGTATAACCTTGCTTAACTCAAGAAACGTATTGACACCTAAAACACCTTCAGTGAATCCTGAATAGTGCTGTTTGTTGCTAGCCACTTAGCGTTTTGGGCCTTTGGTCCTGTGCTAATCAACATAAAAAAAAGGATGAAGGGAACATGAGTCAAGGGATTGCTATCTCGCCACACAGTGTTAACTACCTTGCCTGGTATACAATAGTTTGTGGGTTTGATCCAGACCCTGACACCTGTATATTTGGAGTTTGCATGCCTCTCTTCCCCTGGTCGCGTGGATTATTTTCTGGGTCCTCCGATTTTCCCTCCACATTTAGAAGCATGCATTTAGAGTACTTGGCCACTATACATTTCCACATGATATGCCACTTCGTTGAGCTATCATTTGTACCCAGGTCGCTTTTGAAAAAGTGCTATATAGCTCAGCGGGCCTTACCTGATAAGATAAATATAGTTCGGTTTAAAGAGAAAATACCTCCGTCAAGGGGCGCCTGCCTCTTCTGTCGCTGCAGGTCGTCCGTCATGCGAGCGCAATCTGCCTCCCTCAGGCGCACCGCGACCTCACGTTTCTCCTCCAGAAAGCCCCGCATGCGCGCCTGCATCACTGCTCTCCAAATGCAATTAGGAAGTGAGAAAAAAAAACTTAAAAAAAAATGTGTAGGTCATTGGCACAGAGCTAATAGCGTCGTGATGGTGGTGGGTGTTCAAATTTACACCAGCAGATTGCTCTGCATGGGCGGATGGAAATAGATGCCCATTTGCTGCCTTACAATAGGCCATCTGCCCAAATGATTTTATTTTCTCATCTAATCAGGCAAGGAAGTAGTTTCCTCTATCATTATTTTCAAGCTTGACTTGTCATGGCGCACACGACCTTGAAAGTCGCCACTGCCCATTGGCCAGAAATCGTGAAACCCAATCATCCACACGGCACCCCCCGCATTCGCACCTCGTTTGGCCGAGTGCGCCCTGTTCACGGTCTCAGCCTTGGCGGTCAGGTGCGCCACCCTCTCCCGCTCTCGTTGAGCCCGTTCGAGGGTCTCAAACGGCGCCAGCACGTGGGACCCCATGGAGCGACGGTGCAGGCGTTCGTCCAGACTCGTCGTGGGGTGCTGGTCGCGGGCGCACACACACGCACCTACACGTTGGCATACCGTTTCTCGTGGTATTTGACCTTTATTTCGAAAGCAGGGCAAATGCGCGTGAACAAGAAAATCACTTTTGGCGTGTGTGCGAAAGCGAAATACAAAATAATCGGTCTGGAAGGAATGCAAATCGCACATCTAATTGACTGGATTGCAATGTTTTTTTTCTATTCGTTTGGTGCGGTCTGCATTAAATATATAAAATGGAAAGTGGTAACCGAAATAAATGCACTTCGTAACAAAACATCTGCTAGTTCGTTAGTGGCTTTGTCTCTGTCAATTTCTTACCTGTGGTCGGTGTATAAATTCTGTCCTGGACTCATCCTGAATGAGAGAATGGATCTGGCTCACGGATTTCCTGATATCACATGCCTGCTCATGCCGGGTAAGCAGCAAATCCCGTAGAGGATCAGACTGGTGGATCCTGGCACACAGGCCCGACATGCGGAACTGGACTTGTTGGTCTTCCAGATTGACATCCGTGTTCAAGTCATCACCTTTATCCCGTGTCTCCAAGACTATTGTGGAACACATACATTGATGTAAGCGATTTTAAAAGGAAACAATCCTAATCATAAGTGTCAGTGGCGCTAAATTTACACTCTGAAACATGGTTAACGTTCAACAAAAGATTAATTAATGGACATTTTCTGAAATCTAATGTTTATAACTACTGCTTCATCGGGAAAATTATTCCCAAACATTCGATAATTTACCTGGGTATGCCATTGTGTTGTTATTATAAATAAGCAAGGTTATAATATTTCGATTTAAAGCTTTCGTGACTGCAAGGATTCATCTTCTTGGTTCTTTCGGTAAAGTCACGTAGAATGGAAATAATAAAATAATAAAACTTAATTTTATTATATAATAATATTAAAAAAATGTTTCCTTTTTATTATTTTATTATTTCCATTCTACGTGACTTTACCGAAAGAACCAAGAAGAAGAAGGTTATAATACATTAAATATCCAACCATTACATTTGTTACTTCCAAGCGTTTGCATTTTTAAAAAAAGAAACCTAATTAAGTCTCCATGTGTGTTCGTGGCTAAGAGACAATTAGACCTGTTTGTTGTCGAAGTGGCTTTGTCTCCTTCCGTCTCATTACTTCACTAATGTGACCACGCTGGTGCCTGAAAGGAGCGGAATGAATCCAAGTGGATGGGTAGGACCTCTGTGGGTAGGCACTTGTTGGGCTCAAACGATCCAAGGCATCCTTGCGAGACAATACAAATGGTGAATAAAAACTTAAACCTTTTTAGCATTCCCTACCACACACACACACACATGTGATGTCAATGAATGGAACATACTAGCTTTGTTCAAGGGCACAATAAGTCAGCTTAAATTGTTGCAAATTTCACCGCGCGGTTGAGTAATTTTCCTTGGGACAATCATTTCGCTCACTAAAAGCCCATTGTTAGTGCAAAGCTCAATACATTCGTGATTGTGTTGAGATGTGACTCAAGCAGAACCACTGTAGCAATACAAGACTTGAATGCGTGTAATCACCACTTTCACACGACTGACAAGTGAAATGCACATCAAAATCCACTATCTCATACCTGTGGTGAGTGTATATTGACGTTACAAGTCAATTGAAAGATTTTGTACAGTTTCTTTTGTACGAACCAATGACACAAAATCAATAGTCACAAAATCATGCACTGGCGTTTGTTGTTCGTGAAGAATCTGTTTACCTGGACTGTACTTGTGTGAAGTTGATTCAAATCTATTGTAAGATGCTTGACTTCTGCTTTTTCCTTGAGTAAAAGAAGATATATCAATGCATGTACACAAACTACAGAGTGGAGCAATAGTGCAGTGATTAGTGCACTGCACTACGAGTTCGATTCCCAGTGGCATCAAATATCAGTGGTGAGTAATATCTGAACGGTTTCTAGCGACACCCTCCTCACCCCCTTTCACCAATCTGAATTGACCTGTTAACCAACGAGGTATGCGAAGGCCTTCATCCAGTAGTAGAATGACTAAGCGCTTTACCCATTATACTTGATAGAGAACTACTCATTAAGGAACTGGACACTCATGCCGCGCACCTCCGATTAGCACGGTTGGCTACGTACGGTGCGAAAGAAGTTCAACGTACATATATGCCAATGCAGAACCCCTTGCAAAATGGCTTTGAAGATTTCCAGGCTTTTCCAAATTAAGTAACTATATGGGCAGTGTCCATCCTTAAAAAAAAATGGATGGTATACTTATACATTTTGAAACGTTCCCATGTGTTTTTTTTTCCTTTGTAGAATAAAAGTAACTCATAGTTAAAACGGTTTACCGAAATCGGCCGTAAGACTAAAACATTCAAAGCACACGGAAACAACAAGCACCTTCATTTTGCACTGGCTCCTGCTTGTCATCTGGCCAGAGTGTCCTCCATCCCAGACCCGCGCGAGGCCCTCAGCCAGGATTGCCCGCTCCTCCCGCTCCGGCCGAGATGTTCTGCCGCACGATGCTGGTAGCCTCCTGCCTGTCTTCCCGAGCCTGGCACGGACCAGGTGCCCGCGAAGCCAACGTTGGATGATGTGCACAGCCGAGTGACGTGCCAGCACTGCGTTGATGTCCTTCAGGAGCCTCTGGAAGTGCTGCATCTTTGCGATGTACGATATCTGATTGTAGCATTTAAAAATAGATACTTGATTTTCTTAGTACGCATTAAAACTAAAAGGTAGAGTGCAAACTAAAACACAAATAGCGTTTATGGTTTTCCAATGTGTTTTCGGGTTGTACCGTGTGTTGTTCAGCATGATGTCTGACAGGCTGAATAATTCAGTTCCTGAAGAAACTTGCAGCACCCGCAGAGAAATATCAGACATCAAGTGCACAACACTGCGGTACAATCCAACAACACATTGAGAGTCATGCAGCTCAACTGTGAGCTTTTGCAGTAAATGGCTTTTCTGTTGTAGATATATACCTCGACTGTGTGTTTTAGGCTTTGCGACACAAGTTTGAGGTTTTTGTAAATGAGAAAGAAGACTTTAAATTGATGGATAGGAACACCATTAAACCACTCTCGTGACGTCAATGCATTGATATGCTAAAATGAACTTAAGTGACAGAAGACGCAATCCAAAATCACTTTGACTACACTCCCATTTTAATACGTCAATGCAACGACGTCACTACAGTGCTGTAATGACATGCATGCGCAGAACTTCAAGTCTATGTTGTTATTAACAAAGATTAAATCTACTGTTTGACATCCTGGAACACAGCCTAAGTATGTATCCACAAGATAATATGAAGGAGCTGTTTCGGATTGATTCTCTGCTGTTAATTTGTGATGCATGCATCATTTGTATTCGTGACAATTTTATAGCACTCGTATTTTACTTATTTCATATGCTAATTATTGCACGGGCTGCATTTAAGTCACATTATAGAGTTCCCTGAAAACTTTACACAAATATAAGTTACAGATATAAAACCTAATCGTGCTCATGCATTACTCAGTTACAACATAACGGTTTATGGAAATCCCAAGAAAAAGTTATATTAGGGAAGGAACACAAAGCAAACCATTCATTGTCAAAGGCTTATTGGTTAGCTAACATTGCCATTTTACACAATTGCCATTTTTCATTTTCATTTGGCTGCTATAATTTTCCACATGATAAGCCAATTCAGTTGAGCTATTATTTGTGGCCAGGTCGCCTCTGTAAAAGAGCTATTAGCTCAGTGGGCTTTACCTGGTGAAATAAAAAATGTTTGAAAAATAGTTTCATCCATTGGCCATTATCCCTTAAAGTGATGTGTCCTGCCAATGTCCACTAATTTTCCTATGTGGTATGAAGGGCCATTGGCAGAATGTGTTTAATAATGTTGTTCTCCCATCCATATATTCCTCAATTCTGTCTCTCAGCCTAATTCCACGAATGCAGCTCTCAATCCTACTTTCAATACTTTTTAAATTTTCGATACTTTTTGTCGGCGTCAAAATTTCAGATCCGTACCTAAGTGGGCAAATATATACACGGAATGAAGCCGCGTGTTCAAACCTGTCTCGGAAGGCAGGTGCGTACGCCCACGACCATGGCTGGGCTCAGGGCTCGGAATCGCTCGCTCGTCAACGCGCGACCCGCCAGCCCCTCGATAATTTCCTCGTCGGCCACCACCACGCCGTCCAGCGCCTGCAGCGTGGCGATCGAATTGACGACGCGGTGCCGGTAGCCTGGCCGCAGCGACAGTGGCGTGTCGGCCAGAGTAAGAGCCACGAGGCTTGGGCAGGCTGCCAGGCAAGGTATGGCGGCAGTGCCCAGTGGGTTGTCGTGAAGGTACAGCACACGGAGCTCTGGCAGCCCGAGCCAAAAGTCGGGCCAGGGCAGCGCGCTGATCTGCAATCGGCACGCATTCTTTTTTTATTATTCAATCAATCTTGTGCGTGAATAATTTATGTATTCATTAAAGCCATGTGCCTACATTTAAATAGAAAATGAAATAACATAAACGCATTAATTTAACGATTATAAACGTTTGCGGCTTTTACAAGTCCCTTAAAAGCGCTTTGTGCAATAAGGGTCATTAATTCACCACGAGTTTAAATTACATTAGCCTTATAATTGCGTTCATTGGTTTGAAATAGTACCCAGTGAAAAATAAGGTAACGTTCTACTACAACTATTATATAACGGCATGTGCCACACTGCTGCGCTCAGTGTAACATTTCCAGGCCATAAAACATGTTTAAAGATGTAATCTCGTACCACTTATGCATTCAAAGTTGATGCAACTCATTTTTTTTAAATCCCTTTGCAGTTCAATTCAAAAATGACATATCATTTCCCAGCACAGGAGACCTGCACCAATAAATAATACACATAATCTTCCGTTTTTAATGTTTTTATTTACATGAAAATTTTTAAGAATAAATCAAAGCCCATTCTTTAATCAGGCGAACGTCCAAATAGTTTATCACTTTCTCAAGAAAAGAACGTAGGAATCAGTAAAACAGAAAATTTATATTTTAGCATCATTGTCGTCTAGAAGTCTCTTGCTCCACAGCTCTCAATGCGGTCAAATGCAAACGTTGAACTGTTTGCGAGCCTTAGGAGTTACCTTTAAACAAGTTGTGCACTTTTGGTAACGCTGGAATGCCTGATATAAAAGTCCATGAGAGTGGGAATCAAACCCCCAGTCAGCTTTGGTTCACAGTGGAAGGTCGTTTATTCTCCTCTGCTACTCCTTTGTCTAATAATGCATTTTCCCAGCCGTCTGCACTGTTATACCCATATTGTACCCTAAATTATATAGTAAACCATTACTCTGTGACAACCTAGCTTAATTACCACAGTACGTCGCATATGCGACCGTCACATGTCCACCCTCACCAATTAAGCACCGACACTCAGTGCAGTCTTTGTGCGTGGCGTAGCTGTCAAAATGTAAGTTAATGTTGGGATATCCGACCTTGTCACGTGACCGCCTACAATCTCTGTGCAAAGGTAGGATATGAGAACACCTTTGGGGCTGTCCATAAATGACGTCACGCGATTTTGGACGATTTTTTACCCCCCCCCCCCCCTTCGTCACACGGCGTCACAAAAAGTCAGACCCAACCTCAAATATGACGTCACAAAGCTCTGCCCCCCCCCCCCCCCCAAATAATAAAACATGCTTCAAATCGCTTTAAACTATTGTCATTGTAGTGCGTATTTAATGTGCCGCTGCACTCTGATGTTGTAGGAGGAAACATTTATTAAAAGTCTATTTAATTAAAACGTGTTGTCTATATTTATTTAAAGTTAAGCATTTTTATGTGACGTTGTTTCTCTACCCCCCCCCCCCATCGTCACAAAAGTTTGACACCCCCCCCCCCCCCCCTTAGGTGCGTGACGTCATTTATGGACGGCCCCTTTAGCAAAAGTCACCATGCGGTTCATCGGTCAGGGCGGATACACGTGACGGTCAAACACGCGAGCTGCACACCGAACCACTACCACCACACAATCCGCCACCACAACGTGAACACCTCCAACACAGCACCACTCGCTCGCTCCATCCATCCACCCGTCCATCCGTCCCCTCCGGCGTCTCCAAGTCACCTGGTTGGAGTGGAGGTCAAGCTCCAGGAGGCTTGGGCACGACCCCAGCGCCTCCACCCTCCTGATGTAGTTGTTGCCCAGGTGCAGGAATCGCAGCGAGTGGCAGAGCGCGAGGTCTCCCATGCTGCCCAGCCTCGCCTGGCTCAGACACACCACGGCCAGGCGAAGCAACTCATCGGGGCCTCCCTTCTGACCCCGTGGAACCTGATCCCCGGTCACCACCCGCACATTACCGTGGCCCAGGGTCACGTCCCTGGAGTCAGGCTGATCTGTGGTCACCTGGGTGACCTCTCCAAGGCAACCCTGTTGAGTGGTCACATCTCCACGTGCTATCTGACCTTTGGTGACCTCTCTCAGCTCGCCGCCGCGGTTAAGATTCGACTCAAGATGTGTCTCATCGTGAATCCAATTGCTCAGGTTGCTCCGGCCCCGGGTCGCGTCTCCCAAGTGACCCTGACTCTGGGTCACGCCGCTCCCACGGGCAGCTTCGTCGCTGCGTGCTGGTTGACCCCCAGCCGCTTGGCCTCTGCTGAGAATCAATGGCGAGGTCGGGGTGACCAGGAACCCAGCCACGGCCGCCTCCTTCATGTGGCGTGTTTGTGAGGGCCAGTGCGAGCAAGAGGGGAGATACTCTTAGGCTTTTTCGGTAAAGTCACGGAGGTAAAAAGTAAATAATAAAAATAATAAATAGAAAAAATAATAGAAATAAAATAATAAATCACGTTTCGGAGGCAACAACAAGCTTCCGTCTTCAGGTGGAACCGTCGCAGCAATTTCTATTATTTTTCTATTTTTGTATTATTATTTATAGCATTTTTTATTTATTTATCTACGTGACTTTACCGAAAAAACCGAAGAGTTTGAATTCTTGCAGTCACGAAAGCTTCAAATCTAGTGATCAAGAGGGAGATGTTGAGAGAGCGCTGAGAAGGGCACGGAGGAGGAGAAAGGAGGTGAGATGGAACAGACGTGGAGAGAGCAGCGGAAATGATAGAGAAGAGAGTAAATAAGAAATATTGCAGAGAGAATAAAAGTTGAAATGTGAGACGGGGAGGGCATGAAGCAGAGACGGCTGTCGATGAGAACAGAGTGAACGCAGTGGAGGATGAGCGCCGTCGTGGAGGTGAATACGAGCGGAGGAGAGGAGGGCGAAAGGAAAAGGAGAGGGTGCGAGAGTGGAGACGAGACGGAGAGTGAGTGAGGAGGATGATGATGAGGATGATGAGGGGAGGATGATGATAATGATGAGGAGGAGAGGCAATCCCAGGGGCCCTCCGGCTTGGTTCGCGGCTTCGCGTCGCCACGGCAACGGCCGCGCTACGGAGCGCGAGACGGGGAGCGGCGCGCGGAACGCGATTCGCTCGATTCGGAGTCACTAAGAGTTTCGATAATGATCACATTACGATTACTGTCATCATTAGACCCTTCTAGATTTGAAGCTTTCGTGACTGCAAGAATTCATACTCGTAGGTTTTTTCGGTAAAGTCACGTAGGTAAAAAATAAGTAATAAAAATAAATAAAAATTATAGTAGAAAAATTAATAGAAATAAAAATAAATAATGATTTCTTATTTTTATTATTTATTTTTTACCTACGTGACTTTGCCGAAAAAACCTAAGAGTATCATTAGACCTACTTTGCCAGTACCAAAATATAATAACAGGGTTTTCCCCCTTTTTTCAGGCAACAAAACTGAAACCTTTTTACAAGGATTAATGTCTGCATTAACCATAATACTTGCAGTCAAATGCAAACAAAAACACACTATGATAATATATAATGCATTGTCCGTGTAACTGATTGGTCCACACCAAGGGACGGCTTTCTTTTGAGCCTCGACCCAATTGGTGCTCGACCAGACGACGCCAAGCCTTTGCATATATTATCATAGTGTGTTTTTGTTTGCATTTGACTGCAAGTATTGTGGTTAATGCAGACATTAATCCTTGTAAAAAGGTTTCAGTTTTGTTGCCAGAAAAAAGGGGAAAACCCCCTATGATTACTGTCATGTCACAGGGTCGTGCTGATGTCTTCTGGCCCCCAATGAATTGACCCCTAACATTTGTTTTTTTCATTTGCATATTAATTTCTATCTTAAATTAAACTTAATTTTTAAATCTCTTGACGTATAGCTTTTGTAACTGCAGGAATTAATATTCTTTGGTTCTTCCAGTAAAGTCACGTAAATAGGTTCAAGTTAATACAAATAAAATAAACAAAAAACTACGACGTTTCGATCAAAACACAAGCGATCGTCATCAGGAGGAAAACAAACAGGCGATCGAAACGTCGTAGTTTTTTTATATTTTATTTTTATAAATTTAAACCTATTTACGTGACTTTACCGAAAGACCATAAGAATATTAATAAACAAAAAGTTGTTGAGAATTAATTGGGGGTCACAAGACATCTGGACCACCCTGTAATCTTCATGGTTTAGTTAATCATCACGATGCGATTAATCAGAATCTGTATATATCCTGGAAAAATCCGACGAGCTTTAACGGGGCCGTCCATAAATGACGTCACGCGATTTTGGCCGATTTCTGACCCCCCCTCCACCCTCGTCACACGGCGTCACAAAAAAGTCAGACCCCCCTCAAATATGACGTCACAAAGCTCTGCCCCCCCACCAAAATATTTCCATTTTGAAAATGAAACTTGCTTCAAATCACTTTAAACTATTGTCATTGTAGTGCGTATTTAACGTGGCGCTGCACTCTGATATTGTAGGGGAAAACATTTATTAAAAAGTCTATTTAATGAAGTAGAACGTGTTGTCTATATTTAAAGTTGTGCATTTTGATGTGACGTCACATTTCTCAAACCCCCCTCCCCCCCTCGTCACACCACGTCACAAATATCTGACCCACCCCCCCTAGGTGCGTGACGTCATTTATGAACGGCCCCAACGCTCTTTTTCACTGATGTCCAATAAGGGCAGGTCAGAACGCTACAACACCAAACAATACAAAAACACGATTAATCCTTATTTATTCCATTAATAATTACGATTAGATTAAGCGTTACGGTCAAAGTAATCAAAACTATTCGATGTATTAATCTACTTTAGGGTATTCTTGTTTTGTTTTTGCAGTGCATGTAAAATATACGGTAGTCGGGTAACTCGGGTTGTGACGATTTTGTCTAGATTAATATTCTTACGTTCCCAAGTGCTTCGAAAAAGCATCAAAAGAGCTTATTGATTAATCTTAGTGTGATGGGGGACGTTAAATCGCTACTCCCTAGCGTAACAAATTATATGCGTACTGCATAAACAAACTAATCAAAAATAATAATTTCCAATTGAGAATGAGTGCATAGTCAGGCCAATAATCGAATAATTGACAGTACTTGTCAAATGAGTATAGCCGAATTAAATATTTTACGTGTGTCATTGTCTTCGACAAATAATGTTGACGCCGGTATATATATAAAAAAAACCTAATCTTAATTTTTATAATCTTTTCTTCTCTCAAACATTATTTTACCAAATCCTCTTGAATTCCGGGGAGTAATTTTGTCTGTTGCTCCGGATTACAACCGCTCTGGCTGTTGTCCGTGTGCTCGCTTTGATTTTTTTTGCCTGGGCAGCATCTGTTTGGCACTGATAAGTGCGGAGAATTACCGATGCAAATTTATGCAAATGAAACTCGACCGAGTCTCAGCCCGTTGAGAATGGATGTAACTCGTGGAGAATGGATGGAGATTTTCACTTTCATTTTGGTTGCCCCGTGCCTACAGTGGTGTAGGGTTCTGCTCGAGTGTAAGCTCGCGTTTCGTGGCGAGATGTTATCGCCTGGTATGCAGGAGGTCGTGGGCTTGATCTCGACCCTGATGCCTGTATATTTGGAGTTGTCATGTCTCTCTGCCCGTGGTGGCGTGGATTTTATCTCCCGGGTCCTCCCGTTTGTCCCTTCACATTTAGAAACGTGCATTTCGAGTGTTTGGCTGATATAAATTTACACATGATAAGCCATTTCGTCGAGTTATCATTTGTGGCCAGGTCGCTTCTGAGAAAGAGCTCAGTGGGCCTTACCTGGTAAACAAAAACATGTTTAGTCTCACTGCCATTGTGCCTTTTGTGACGATTCATATTTTTCAGAAACGTATACGATGGTATATGTTATCGATTTTTTAAAATATATTAATATATTCGTATGCCTGTGATTACGTACTCGCTATGCATGAGGTGGCAATTTACACCCTGCACAATCTTGCAAACGAGATCATCCATCTCGAGGGATAAAATTCAACAGAGCGGGTTTTTTTGTCAATGTTGCAACATATATAAAAAAAAATGTATACGCCGCCAACCGCCACATGTTGAGTTGTGGAGATGCGGTTATGAAAAGCCAAGTCGTATACGGTATTGTAAGTGGCTTTTTCTTCCTGAAGACATTCAGACATTACCCGTAAATGTTCGCCTGAACATTTTATGAGGTGACCGCGCAGCTCAGAAGAGGTTAGAAACACTGAGCCGGTACTGCTGAGATTCTGAGTTTCAGATGTGCATGATTAACGTGCAGGGTTCGCGATTTAATACCGAGGTGATGGTCTCAGCCTGGTTGCCAACAGTCCACATGAACCCCATTGAACTTCATTTCCCTTAATTTAGCTAAATATATATTTAAAAATAAATCGATGGTCAATACATTATCACAGCAAGCGTGTGTGTGAAAATGCGACCGCTGCTGGATAAAATATTTTGAAAAGCTACTTGAAGATTTGTGGAGGCTCGTGACAAGTTTTCAAATCACTCGCCACTGATGTTAGCCGTGCCTCGGAATCGAACTGAGGTCACCGGGTTCACGACAAAGTGCACTCACCCACTAGGTCAGCGCACCACACATAACTGTGTGTGACCGTGTTTTTAAATCCTTTATATTAAGTTCGCGTGCTTGCGTGCTTGCTTGCTTGCTTAGGACCGTGCAAACCTTTCGGTCGTTTTTTAACCCACTTCCCGTGATCCAATCGAGCTGACATTTTGCACACAGACTCGTTGTGCGTGACAATTAATGTTCGTGAAAAATAATGTCCAAAATTTTACACTGTTTAGGGAAAACAAATTAAATATTTAATTACCAATTGCTTAATGGTGGCAGGCAATCATCTGACCCATAGGTGGCAGCCATCTCAAGCCAGAGGACGAGAGGACTCTAGCCGCCACGCATATAAAGGATTTAGAGTGAAAAACTTTGTTTTTACGGGTTATACTTGTATACAAATACAAATATAAAGATCCCCGTATATATTATTCACAGTACATGGGGGTGTTCGTGAGCGGGAATCCATCTCGGGTCGCCGGGTTCGTTGCGCAGTGCGCTAACTACTGCTCTATCGCTCCCCATAAACATATTCACTCACAAAAACACATACAAAGATCCCCGTATAGCCTTATAAGACTGCCTGGGCAAGTGCGGTTAGCGAGCACCTATGAAGGCCGACACGGCACACGAGGGGGTGAGTGGCCAGCATCACGCCCGGCCGCCTTTGTCTCCCTAGTGGCGATGTTTACACACCACACCAAGTACTCATTTGCGGCTGAGTCGACCTAGGGGAGGCCCAGTACCGGTTCAGATAATTGTCACTGGTATCGGTCGTGAGCGGGAATCTAATTCAGGTCACCGGGTTCGTAGCGTAGCGCATTAACCGCTGCACTACCGCTCCCGTATATTCACCCTCAGACACACTCACACGCAAGGGCATATAGACACTGCATGAGCACCAGTGTTGCCACTGTCTCTGGGCAATGTGCGAGGGCGGCGGAATACGAGTCACCGTGTGTGCGTAGATCGACATAAATTAGGGCCAAGTTCCACAACGTGAAGTCCTGACAACGGCTCACCCACAAGGCAGCAATCGTCATCTTTATGGCCACTCTGGCGTGGTTGCCTCTCTCCCATTGTGCTCACCAAAGTCGCTGGTCGCGTCAGCGTTTTCTTAATGAACGACATTAAATCCAATCGCCGGGGGGTCCCAGAAATGCCAATAATCTTTTCCATATTTTTTTCTTAATTTCACACCGTATGTTTTTTCTCTCTTAATTCGTATTACTAGCATACGTAATTAACAGGAGATAACGAATGTGTACCACGTATGATGCGCACATTAGAATTCTCACCACCTTTTATGCACGGGTAGAGCATCGGCAAAACGGGTAAAGGCGCGGCCCTGCAATTTCCTGCTCACGCCACTGCTGGCGGAAGGGCCTCCACTTCGAGCGAGTTCCAGAGGGTTATTCTTCGAGGGTAATTTGGCCTACTCTTCCACCCTTGCCACACGTCTTGGAAGAGGTGGGTATACCCACAC